CACCTCTTCCATTTTTCGTACACCCGCCACACAGTGTTTATAGGGTGACCCAGAAAAACAATGACAGAGAGCGACAAAGAGGAGTCGAGAAAATTGAGAACAAGTGAGAAGGAGCGAGGAAGAGAGAGGAACCAGCGGAAAAGAGTAGGGCGGCGTGCAAAGATCGATCACCCGTAGCAACAGCCACGTCGAAGATCGACGCGCCCGATCGTGATCGATCGATATTCTCTGACACCAAGGTCCCGATGTACTTTGCATAACTGTCAAGCTTGCGCTCTGTGGCCAGAAGTTACGAAAGATATCATCGTTCTTCGTTCTAAGTAAACGCGTTTAACCGATCGCCGGACGATATAGTCGAGTTGCGTAGCCCGTTTCGGATCCCTATTAATATGGAATATGCCACCAGTGATGAATAATTTCGACGTTTATTGTGACATGTATCTGTAATGGAGTCGCATGTACCGAACGGAAGACAATGGTTCATGTTTGGTCGAACATGTAAACGAATTTCTTCGACCTTCGTGTTAAAATTACGGGATATTGGAATCTTGGCAGAGGTATGAATTATCATAATAAATTGCGTTCCGATGATGATTTATTATTGTCATTAAGAATGGCTTGATGGACGACGTGATGTAAGCTAAATGACGTTGGCAATTGACGAGTTACTTGGAGAGGTAAGCAGCTGATTTAGATTTTTGTAATAACAGGAACTGTTCCAATCTGTATAAAAAGCAATCTTACGGTTCCGTGAACGTTATAGCGAACGGATTAATCCACGTTTGTACTAGAAATTACCTACTTAAAATGAAACACAAAACTATCCTTTGATGCATCATTCCCGGAAGGCAAGATTCCAACCTCGGTTTAGCACCAAAACATCGAACCCATAGATCCATCTCCTTCGCTCGTTTCTTCGTTATGAAAATAAACGCTTGCACCGCAACTTTCCACATTTGAGAAAACGTTGAGTAAACAAGGAAAAAAAATATCAAGTCGAAGAAAGCTTGTAACTCGCGAGACAGCTAACGCGCGATAAAATTCCGTCGCCGTTGGTTCTTCTCTTTTCGAGCACCGAGTATCGTCTTGCAGAAGGAGCCAGGATAGCCACAAGCATGCGGGAAAAAAGAAGCGGCAGAGTGTGAGGGGTGGCTTTTAGAGGAGGACGGAGAACAACGAGGGTGCGAGAGAACGGTGTAGCCGAGAGAAAGAGGGCGGTTGAAAGGGGGTGGCGGTGCTCTCACATTCTTTTTACCAAGCGAAACGTTGCCGGCGGAGGCAGCGAGAGCGTCGCCTATCGATTTTTACTTCTAATGAATTCGAGCTAAAAACCCACCTCTCTGCCCCACAACCACCTCCTGGCCCTCTTTCTCTCTCTTTCTCTCTCTCTCTCTCCCTCCCCCTAGAATTTCTCCGCCTTCCTCCCTCTTTCTCTTTCTTCTACTTTGCCACAGCCACACTGTGCTACCCTCGTGCTTAGCCACGCTTCCACCCTCTGTTCCACGAACCACGCCAATCACTGCGCGGCATAATTACACGGTTGAGGCTAGTGTGCGACTCCGGCGAAGTCGTGTTTCTTAGACCTCGTGCACTGCAGTAAAAAAAACGAGAAAGCTGGACGAGGAGGGTGGTCGGGGGTGCCGAGCGTCTGCTGGGCTTAGAACGAGTTTCGCGGGGTTAGAACGCCGACGTTCGGGGATCGACTTCTTCCCTGGTTTTCTCTCCCCGTTTGTTTTCTACCGAACGTTGCTTCCTCGATGGGGAATAGAAGTTGTTTCTTTTTGTTTTAGTGACTACTAGTAGCCAGAACTTGGCTGAGAATGGCTTATAATTTGTGTTCAGCGAGTTGGATTTGTTGGAATTGCAGCGGTACTTGAATGTTAAAGAGAAGTACATCTATTTTATTTCGTGTATATCTTGCTTTAACGCAAGGATTTTATCAAGAATATGCAAAATTAACGAGCATAGTAGTTGCTAATGACTGCTATATGCGTTTTACATGACATTTAACGCGAGAACAAACATTTAATCCAATATAGCATGTACGAATATATTTAATCTGGTATTTGAAACGTATGAAATATTTTGTAATTTAAAGTTCGTTTTAAGGAATTCTGAAAGAAAAAAGGTTTGGTGGTAGACAGAAAATTAATTTCTATAAAAAAAAGTGGATTCACTTTTTCTGTATCA